GAAAAATACATAACATATATTTTTTCAAGAGACAAGATTGTCTTTGTCTTCCAAATATCTTATTTTAAAGTTTTTGACAGTTAGCGTTTGAACCTTGAGGTGAATAGACGTGTTAAAACTGTACTCTACCGGAAAAGTCTTAGTTATAGCAATAGCATAAGTGACAGTTAAAGGTGAAACTCGTTTAACAGAATTACAAAACAAGACGGCTGAAATGGCCACAAAAGTAAGTGATGATTCGTCATCCAACAATAAAGATAAACCTGGAGAATGGAAAATCGCTTCTAATAAAAGAAGTCCAAGCAGTCGCAGCAGTCCAGGCAATGAAACACAAATTATTCAAACTATCAAACAAGCAAAATTAGACTACTGGCTAAGTAATACAAGAAATAAATTCGAAATTCTACAAAATGATAAAGTAAATAATCATAGCGAAGATGAAAAATCAGGAAGGAACGAAGCAAACAAAATGATAAACAAATCTCCTCCGATCTTTGTTTACAACATAGAAGATATCCAACCGTTAGAAAAATTATTAAACACAATAGACAAAAACAATTTTACACTAAAAGTAATAGGGCAAGATAAAATTAAAATTAAGCCAACAGCATCCGAAAAGTATCTCCCGATAATAAATGCGCTGAAAGAAAAAAAGACACAATTCTACACCTATCAGCGTAAAGAAGAAAAAGGTTTCAAAGTAATTCTAAGAAACATGTATCCATCAGTTGATACTAAAGAATTAAAAGCTGCCATAGAAAATCACGGACACAAAGTACTTAGTATTCATAACATAAGACATCGCATCACAAAAGCACCACTACCGCTTTTCACAGTTGAAATTGAACATGATTATAAAAGTCAGGACATCTACAAAAAAACCAAACTTCTTCACACAGTAATCAAATTCGAACCACCAAACATAAAAAGAGAAATTCCTCAGTGTCAAAATTGCCAAGAATATGGACATACGAAAAATTACTGTTTCAAAAGTGCAGTGTGTGTTAAACGTGCTGAATGTCATCAAACCATGGAGTGTCCAATCAAACAAAAAATTAAAGATGTAATATGTGCAAACTGCAAAGGAAATGATACAGCAAATTATAAAGGTTGTCGGGTACGTACGCAATTACAGCAAAAATTATTTCCTAAGTTGCGAGAAAGAACATTTCAAAATAGAATAGAAGCACACACAATCACAAATGCAAATTCAAATCCAAATGACAATAGAGTTAGACCGAACACAACATACGCACAGGTAATAGCTAAACATAACGGCCAGAATGAAACAGAAACACCAAAACAAACAGCAGTACACACAGAACAAAACAATTGCAGAAACGATGAAAAGTAAATTAATAAACTTGAGCAATTAATGGAAAAAATGACGCAAACAATGAACATATTGTTAAAATTAGTAACCACACTTTTTAAAAAATTAGTATAACCATGTCAAATCTGTCAAATCTAAAAATTTCTATCTGGAATGCCAATGGCCTTACGAGAAGACACCTTGAGTTAAGAGCATTTTTAATTTAAGAAAATATTGATATTATGTTAGTCTCAGAAACACACTTTACTAGCAAAAATTTTTTCCACATACCAAACTACTCAGTACACAAAACAAATCATTCACTCGATAACGCACACGGAGGTACTGCAATTCTAATCAAAACAAATATAAATCACCACGTTCACAAACATACTAGCGAAATCTTCCTTAAAGCAACTAGTATAATCATCAAAGATAAAGAGGGACCGATTACTATATCAGCGGTTTACTGTCCTCCAAATAAAATAATCACAAAGGAAAAATGGACAGAATTTTTCAAAAACTAGGAAACCGCTTTATATCAGGAGTGGATTATAATGCGAAGAACCCGTGGTGGGGATCTAGATCAGAAACTCCAACACCTAGAGGTAGAGTACTCTATGAAATACTACAAAAAAATAAATTCACCCCGATATCCACCGGAGAACCAACATACTAGCCTACCGACTTAAAAAAGCTCCTGGACTTGATTGACTTTGCAATAGTAAAAGGGATAAACAAAAATTATTTCAAAGCGGCATCATGCCTAGATCTTACATCGGACCATTCGCCGGTAATAATTACTCTTCACCGTCAAGTACACAACAATGTAAATAAACATACAAAAGTGGACTGGAAAAAATATACTCTTTCCATAGATGAATGTATTACGTGTAATATTCCACTCAAAACAACTATCAATATAGAAAGCTGCATAAATTCACTCAACGTACTCTTATCTAACACCATTAATGACTACTTTACAATAACAACCAGAAAAAATACGCAACAAATTAACTCTAGAATAGCCAAAAAAATCAAAGAAAAAAGATCACTAAGAAAAAGATACCAAATAACCAGATCAAGATAAATCAAAACTCATCAAAGCAATTAAAGTCCTCAAGAAAATGCTACAAGAAGAAAAAAATATTCAAACACAAAATTATCTTAAAACACTGAGTCCAACAGAAGCAACAGACTATTCACTATGAAAAGCCACAAAACGACTTAAAAGACCAACATTTATACCGCCTATCAGAAAATCGGATGGTGAATGGACGAGATCGGATGAGAAAAAAGTTGAAACCTTCGCAAACCACCTTAGCACTGTATTCCAGCCATTATTACCGAACGGGAAGAAATAATTTTACTAGAAGTATCTGATGCACAAGATAGCACTCCGATCAAATAGATAAAAATGAAGGAAGTATTACTCATTATTAACAATATTAAAAACAGAAAAGCTCCCGGATTTGATAATATTACGGGAAAAATAATTAAAATGCTACCCAAAATTGTGATAAGATACATAACGATTATTTTTAATGCATGCTTGCGTATCTGCTATTTTCCTTCCCAATAGGTGAGATCCAATAGGTGAGATACATAAACCTGGAAAACAACCAGAACTGTTAACGTCTTATAGACCGATCAGCCTTCTACCTTCTCTATGAAAAATTTTTGAGAAACTAATAATAGCTAGAATCACTCCAATAATATCAAACAGAAAACTTATCCTCGAGCATCAATTCAGATTCAGGAATAGTCACTCTACGATTGTGTGGGTGTGTGTGTGTGTGTGTGTGTGTGTGTGTGTGTGTGTGTGTGTGTGTGTGTGTGTAAGCAGGTTAACTGAATAGTGGCTGTGGCTAGGAAGGCGCTAGAGGACAGAAAGTATTGCACTGGAATATTTCTCGATGTTTCACAAGCATTCGACTCACAGCACGAAGGATTTTTATGCAAGCTCAATAAAGGCAGGAGTACCACGAGGCAGTGTTCTTGGACCAACGCTATATTATTATACACCTCAGAGCTACCAATATCAAATAACATCGGGACAGCAACATGTGCAGATGACACAGCAATTCTATCTGTACAACCAGAGGCAACAACAGCATCCAAAACAATTCAAAATTACATAGATAATCACCTTCAAAATTGGGTTAACTCGTGGAGAATAATAGTTAACGAAAGTAAATCAGTTCACACCATATTCACCCTCCGTAAAAATAAAAGTGTCCATCTATTACACTAAATGACAAATACATACCGCAAAAAAACCATGTCAAATACTTAGGCATTCACTTGGATAGAAGGCTGACATGGAAAAAACATATATTCACAAAAAGAAAACAACTAGGATTAAAATGGAGAAAAATGTACTGGCTTATTAGAGCAAAATCCGAGCTAACAATCGAAAACAAACTCTTGTTATATACAGCAGTACTCAAGCCAGTCTGGACTTATGGTATCCAACTATGGGGAGCCGCTTCAACCTCGAACATCAAAATACTGGAAAAGTATCAATCGAAAGTCCTACACAGCATAACAAACGCGCCTTGGTTCGTGCCAAATGAGATCATTCGAAAAGACTTACAGATTACAACAGTAAAGGAAGAAATAATCAATTTCTACAAAAAAATAACACACTAGACTGCAAAACCACTCAAACGAACTTATTAGCAAACTGCTCTCGGAAGAGATTACCAACACTAGACTTAAGAAACATAAACTGATGAACGATGAAATAGATTAAGTTAATTATGCAAAAACTGTAAACAAAAACAGCATACTCACTGGAGTGTTCTGTTATTTAGATTGTGTATGTCAAGTAGTAGAAACATTTGCTTATTGTCTCACTATGTGAGACAGATTGTAAATTTACGTGGAGTTAATAAAAAAAAAAAAAAGTTTTTGAAAGTGTCTACAAATTCCATTTTGGCGGAAAAAATGTCCAATCACACAGTTTCGCAGGGCTTAAAACATTCAACTAAATAAAAAAAATTTTCGTAGCTTAAAAATTGACCGAAATATTGTTAACAAACCCAATATGTTGTCTCATTTTCTCCTATGTTGGTATCGGTATCTTTAAATCATTTAATAGGCGTTTCTATACATACGGAACATAATAAATAATGGTCCTCTCATTCTCGGATGACTCAAAGGCATGTATGACCACCCTTATCCTGTTAGATCCTATACTTTGCTGCTGGCATAAATGTTGATTTTAGATACTAAAATTTTATAAAAAATGCTTTATGAAAAAGTACTTTTGAAATTTGTACTACTAAACTTATGTACCACTAAACTTATGTAGCTTGTTGACGTAGAGGGATGTTCATAATCCGATTCGATACCGGCAGATATGCCTCAAATAAATCCCCAGTGAATTGCATGCAGTTTATCACTTTATTCGAAAACGTGATAATACTTTACGACTCCTTTGTTTGATAAAGATATGAGATAGGAAGAGCACATGAATGAAATCACATAACTAAATAGATTTAAATAAAAAAAGTCACAAATGTATAAAAAACGTTGATTATGCCACTGTGTAAAGAAATGGAGATAAATATAGGAATATTCAATAATGCAAACAATTAGGACATAATTGAATAAATGTATATCAATTATTTATTTAAAAATCATGAGCCTTCTATATGACTAGTACCATGGCTATTATACTTACAAAGTCGTCCAAAGCTATGACTTAATCGTTTTTTTAATTTTTGAACTCGTGTCAGGGTTCCACTTTTTTTCTCTCTCATTGTTACAAGCCCTACAAATAAAAAAATGTACTGAATAATAAAAATTCAATTAAATTTTTCGTCAAACCTAGCGTATAATTCGTGCGTAAAATTATCTAAGCAATTATTTAATATATAATAACTTCAACTATAATAAGGAAGATTAATGTCTTTTTACAGAGTACAAGTACTCAAGGCTTTTTTTGTATTTTACTCAACTCACTGTTCCATCTTTTAACGTTGGGGAATGTGCTGTTTATTACTTATTTTACTATTAAAAAAACAAAAAATAATGATAAGTATATAAAAGTAGTAGCACAATCTAGAACAAGTTCTAGAATACATGTAATTTTAATGTATATGCTTGATGTCAATTTTATGAAATCAAATAGTTCATCCATAATGACATTCGAAGTTTTGTTAATAGATTTTATACCTATCCGAAAAGATGCATACCAGATAAAATAATTATTAAAGATACTCTAATACTTTAGAATCCAAGTAGTTTCTAAAAAAAATTTTTATTGTATAATAAGTACTTTGTGGAATATATGGTCAATTTAAAAAGCGTTAAGCTGCAGACAATTTTTTGATTCTTTAAATTGAAATATATTTATTTTACGGGGAAGCCCCGATACAAATAATTTTATTAAATTAAAATGAACATTCTTACATAATCAAAAAAATTATTGTATATTCAATTCATGAACAAAATCTTATATTTTTTAGAATTAAAGAAAGAAAGCAATATTAGATTTATAATAAACAGTTGCGTACTACATGTTTGATCAGCCTACACTGAAATTATCAATAATTCAAAGTTTTGTAGCTTGCTCAGAAATAGTCGTAGGTGAACACGCGGGGGCTCATTTTAAAGGGTAAAGCAATATCTTTCATATTTCGCTAGTTTTTTTAAACGATTAAACATAGCATTTTTTACACTAGAAGAACTGGATCACATCTTTTCATTTTTTCAAACCGCAAAAAACACTTTCTAACTTTTGAAGAAGTCTATGGATTTTTAAAAAAATAAAATGGAAATGATAATATGCCTCCTCTTTAAAATGAGTGGAACAAAATTCTTTTTTATCAACCCGATTTTAAGTTACGCTGATTCCATGTTTTAATTCACTCTTGTTTCAAGTTCGTCTATCTTCGAATGTGTACAACGTAGAAAAAAAAACTCCTTGACAAAATATGTTTATTTTTTAAGAAAAATAAGTATCTACTATTAAAATTACATTTAAAAAAATTTTTTTTCATCATTTTTTTTTATCGTAATTTTTTTTTTAATCATGAATGTATTCATAACTTGAATTTTTAATTAATAACAAAAGTTTTTCATTTTAATAGTTTGAACAAAAATTACGATAAAAACATGAAAAAAATTTTTTTTTTAAATGGAATTTGAATGGTAAATACATATTTTTCTTGAAAAACCAAACATTTCTTATCCAAGGAGGTTTTTTGCTGTCATCATCTTTCAAAAATAGTTGAATGATAAGTTTTATAGTGGAACGGGGCAAGTATTAATTGAATAATAAAACGCGTTACATGATTGTGCGTGTATCGTCTGATGGGCGAGTCGATTCCGCACAAGAACCCATACGCACGTGGCCGGTGCAGAAGCGAATTTCACGCCCATGCAGCAAATCTCTCCAGCCTCAGCCCTTCTCATTGTCAATATTCCTCGATATGACTCAGCTCGCCACTGCTCCGATGAAGTATTTCATTACACTGCCGGACTGCATTGCTGTGCAACACGCTGAAAGGAACGCGAACGTTCGAGTTCGCGGAAGATCCTTCTAGGTTCGGTATAGAGTCGACGAAGATGACGGAAAAGATTGAGCTGTTGAAGAATCGCAGGCTGTGTATTTATGATTAAGTACCGAAGCTTTATTTCGGTATTAGCTCTCGAAACGCTGTCTCTTGAACGACGTATTCTCGACGCAAGATAAAGAGATTACTGCCTCCTTCGCTCCCTAGAGACAACGTACCTGCCCTTGGGCCAGTTACGTGGAGAATTCGAGGATTTTGATCTTAACTGCTGCGAAGCTCTTAACTTCACTCCTTTCATCCCCTTTTAAAAGCATTTGCTAACACGTATCTGAGCTGCACGAAGGACCTAACACTGGGAAAATACTGAAGAAAATGCGTGACTTGTTATGTGTAACGAGCACGCTGTTTGGGATTACGACGGAACTATTCACGTGTGAAGACTAAACTATACTACTCGTGACCTGCGTAGCTAATCTCTCTCTACCTCCTCATCTCGCTTTCGGTTACGCACATGTACTAGAGGATCTCTGTGTCACGCATTCATGTGTGTTTGCGTGATCGACTATCGTCAGCCTGTCATGCTCGCGACACGCAACGGTCGCTAACTGCTACAATATATATTTAAATATGTATTTTTCATACACTGCCCGTCAATCACTTTTGCCATGCTTACCTCAAAATTAGGCAAACTTGAAAGTTTTGTATCTCGGTCGGAAATCATCGTATCACAAAAAACCGCAGGGCATTTTAAAGGTAATTGCAAAAGCTTCCATTTAAGACGTGCAGAGACTTAAAAATGAAAAAATGTGTTTTTTACAGTAAAAAACTGATCAAAAAAATTTCAATTTTTTTAACCTCGACTTAAGTCAATGCCAATTTAGAACCAGGCGGTGGAGGGCAAATCGACCTGAAGGGTTCGGAGGGTAATGTCTTTCCCTTTAAAATGAGCTCCCGCAGGGTTCTATCCAATGTTTTTTAACCGAGTTACGACGTTTTTTGTAAAAAGCAACCTTCTTTTTCCAATCCTCAATTACTTCGACTTGCGTACGTTTTGGAAAAAAATGCCAAAGAGAAAAAAGTTTTATTTTGTATCCAAGAATACGAAAACAAAGTCAAAATAAAGAAATAAAGAAAAAATTTTTTTTCGGTTTTTTAGCGCATTAAAAAAATAAAGGAATTTAACTTTTTTTTTACGCTTAGTTTTAGTTTTTTTGTGATTTACTACGTCCCTAGACATTTTCAAAATTAAGCGTAAAAAAAAAGTTAAATTCCTTTATTTTTTTAATGCGCTAAAAAACCGAAAAAAAATTTTTTCTCTATTTCTTTATTTTGACTTTGTTTTTGTATTCTTGGACACAAAATGAAACTTTTTTCTCTTTGGCATTTTTTTCCAAAACGTACGCAAGTCGAAGTAATTGAGGATTGGAAAAAGAAGGTTGCTTTTTACAAAAAACGCCGTAACTCGGTTAAAAAACATCGGATAGAACCCTGCGGGAGCTCATTTTAAAGGGAAAGACATTACCCTCCGAACCCCTCAGGTCGATTTGCCCTCCACCGCCTGGTTCTAAAGTGGCATTGATTTAAGTCGAGGTTAAAAAAATTGAAATTTTTAATCAGTTTTTTTACTGTAAAAAACACATATTCTCATTTTTAAGTCTCTGCACATCTTAAATGGAAGCTTTTGCAATTACCTTAAAATGCCCTGCGGTTTTTTTGTGATAGGATGATTTCCGACCGAGATACAAAATTTTTAAGTTTGCCTAATTTTGAGGTAAGCATGGCAAAAGTGATTGACGGGCAGTGTAGATTGCCAAATAATGGAAAACAAGATACAGAGTCGAACAGGTGCAGAATGCTGAGCATAATGGTCAAAATGTTTCAATGAATAATGATAATTGTAATCATAATCACGTGCAATATAGTCGAGACGATGATTTCAATGAATGGTGAATTGCGATACAATTACGTAATTGAATTTTTTACTTATAATAATATAATTAATTTATAGTAGTAATTTATAACATATAGTATGTAACGGGGTGGATTAGCTAGTACAAAAGGGATTTATTAAAGCACAGACTCCTACGATGCAGAGCTAACCGCCGCTCCGTTAAACACACATGAGTATACGTGTATTCGCCTTTACATTTGATACTTTCGTTCCTATGTCTTCTTTCCAACCGTGTTAAACTTACCTTGAGTCACCTGACTTGTGACACTCGATCTATCTTAGGTGTGAGGGACCTAATGTTTATTCCAACCAATCCCCTAGATGAAATCGGTTTAAAATTTAACCGGTGATAGATCCGTTAAACTAATAGGAAACGAAATAATGTAATGCGGCGAATAAAATTAATATAGTTTATGACTAGAAAACTACAGTCTTTGATGGGTCGAAAGACTAACGTACGCGAATAGGATTTATACATTATCAAGATAGAACTGTTTCATCAACTTGACATTGTGTAGTACACACTGAGGCTTGAATGATCTGTTGTGATGTGAACACACTGTGACTAATTTAGCTTCTTTTGCCGTTGCGTAGCCGAGGTTGTCAAAGTTGCGAACAGTCAATCTGAATTTCTCTAGCCATTCTTTGTTTGAGCTTCCAGAGACAAACACTTTTTTCGCTTTTCCCAAAGTTCCTTTAATGATGTCACTGAGTTAGTCTTTTCCAGGAAAAGAATCGTACTAGAGGTTTTGCGTCGTACTTAAGAGGAATGATGGCTAGTTCCTTCAGGATGAAATCGCCTCCAGACTGCTTGAATTCTTGCACGTTCACCTCGAAAGATATTTCAAAAACAAATGACTGTTCGTGCTGCATCTAGTTTTATACCCGTATCCCCTCCCATCGAGCCGCCTTTTTTAGTCAATCATTACACAATCTTTTTCACATCTACACTAATAGGATTGTACTATACAATGCGATCATGTTTTTACAGACAGCAGGCCGCTGTATTATCTGGAAATATTTCGTTTTGTTTCGAACAATTAATCACTATGAGTGGCACTTTCTCAATGAACGTTTCCTTGTTGAGTATAGGCTCCGCATCTTTACTATAGTAAGAATTTTGAAAATTCGCAAATATATCGTACAGCATGGCGTACTGATATTAATTGATGTTGAGATCAAGATTTCCATATGGGTAGCATTGCGAATTGAGAAACAGTTTGACGTTGCTGATATTGCAGTGATCAAATTCGCTACCATTGGCAGATTTCTCATTCTTTCGTTTAGTTTGAAAAGTCAATA